GCAAAGCTTGAAACAATTCTAAGGGTCATTCGCCCAAAAGAAAAAAAACATAAGGAAAAACAAATACTATACTAGTTATAAGCCTTTTTATTCTAATCTATACTTCCGCTCCATGTGAACTTGTCCGGTGGAGTTTAATTTCTAACTTTGAATACAAGTGAAGTGATAAAACTGTACCTGAAAAGCTTATATGTAAATATCTGTAACTAGTTCGGTTTCATTTCCTGCATGTATTGCAGTCAGCCAGACTTGGGGTGGATGAGAAGAGTACAACAAATACTTGGTCGTAAACACCAACGTAATCTGCATGTAGGTACCACTGAGTTTGCCCAAGTACTTCAGCAATTCTATATCTGCCATCATCTCTCTGATCTTTATCTTCTTTATATAGGCAATATATGTCCTTCACCCAACTTTTGGACTGAAGGCTGCAATATTTGCTCTGCAATTGTTTGTGGACAATTTGGTATGCCTAACTTTCTTTGTGATCATTATTCAATAAGACCACTTCATATCACTTAAAAAGCCTGCTTCAAGTGAATGTCATTCTAACTTTTGTTTCTAGGTCTGGAAGAAAGTGGTATATGTAGATAGATTACTGCAGCTCTTCAGATATGTTCCTCGTGAGCAGTTGACCATCCCTGACTTTGTTTTCCAGTTGAGTTTCTGTGTTCCTTCACCCACTTACCCCACTCCAATTTTTATAGCAACTTGGATTTAAAATTCCCAATTTCCCAGTATGCAATGATTGTAATAAAATGTAAACAGAGGTTTGATTCTGATGATTTTGGTGACCATAATCAATGCAGGCACGATTTAGAAGTCAATGGTGGGAAGGGTCTTATTGTGGACCCAAGAACAAAGTATGTGTATCATCGACCATAGCATCACACACACGGTTCCATCGGGCAGGCACTGAAGGAGATCCATGGCTTGTGATTTCTTGATTATATTTTATTTTCTTATATCTTATAGTTAGATGGGAGTTGATTTTGTCTCGTGTAGAAAAAAAGTTAAATTTTTTTTTAAACAGTTTTTTCCTTCTATTTTCTGAAGCAATGATCTGTTTGTATCTAAAGATGGAAAGTAATAAATATTAATATTCTTTCTTGTATTATCTTGGACAAGTCATCAATAAAATGTAAGTTGGTATGAGCTTTTTGTGAAAAACAATTTCAAGGAAGTTGCTTGTGCATTTTTGTAGCCTGCAAATCAACCAGTTACCATGCGATCTTTTGAACACGGTGCTCAGGCTTTCCTGTTTTCTGCCAACCTTCTTTTTCTTTTTCCCCAAAAAAACCTAAATTAAAAATTTCTCAAAGTGCCAGGACAGGGGGGAAAACTTATTACAAAGAAAAAGAAAAAAATAGTTGCTCAATTTCTCATAAACCATTTGTAAAATGAATTTCGAGTTTAAGCGATGAAAAACTCAGAAAAAAGTCGTACAATTAATATAAAATCTATTAATTAATTAAGCAAAAATAAATATAAAATTTACTATTGAGGAAAAAAAGTCTTCGGATATTTCTCCTCTTGGTTCTCTCCAAGTCTAGCGGTTATTTTCCAGAGAAACACAGTTCGTATCGTAATCCGCGACGCAGACGAAAGTGCGACTCAGCTTGAAACCGTTCCACACACTAATTTATACATTTTGGAAATTGTTTATATAAAATCTGGCAGACGAAGACGAACCCAACCAAGTTTGCTTCTTCTTTGCTTTCTGTGGCTACTCTCCGGTGAGCTATCCTCTTACATACTCTCATGTTCTTCATTGTTAATTCTATTTGACGGGAAAGACTCAAGCTAATCGATTTGGTTTGCTTTTAGAATTGCTCTGGTAATTTTAGAACCCAATTATTGAGGATTTAATGGGATAATTTACAGAAAGATAAGCTTTTGATAAGAGTCTTCAACTGGGTATATGTGATTATTTTCACTTCCGGTTTGAATACTTGGAAGTTGAATGTTGGACCAAAATGTGTTAGTTTGAGTAAAACTCATTTTGCAGTTGTGTTTGTTTCACATAGCCAGTAGTTTATTTCTTGGTGTTGCATGCTTGAAAGATTTGTTGTTAGAGATTTGGTTCAAGTATAACGTTTACAATTTTAATAGGACTTACTGAACATTGTAGATGCTGATATTTCTGAACACAAGTGTGGAAGAAGAAAGGTAGTATTTTGTAAAGAGTATCTAATTGCTCAGAAAGCAAAATGGTGCAAGGTCTGTCACTGAACACTCTAACTACGTCCCGTAATGGTGCCTTCTGTGGATCAATGCCTTCGTGGAGGAAGCATTTCAAACTAATGAGGAAAACCCAGCTAAGCTCTGTTATTGAAAGGCATGGTATCTGGCATCTGTGTCATCAAGGCTTAGTCTTAAGAGGTAACCCCAATATGTTAAAACAAAGGAACATGAGGGTGGAAGCTGGGTGGCTGTTTAAAAGGGGTGATCAAGGGTTGAATGCAAGCTCAGAGCAAAGCGAGACTGCTAATGAGGATATTTTGATATTCTTTTTCCAGCTGGACCTGGCAACTCGAGTTCAGGTTCGATGGGATTCCTTTCATAGTTTAAATTTTATATTAGGGTATGGCATTTCTCTCTATTTTGTTTGTCTAACAAGAATTTGCTTTTTTGGGGATGCGTTGGCAGTATGCTTTGAACACGGAACAGTATGATATTGCACAACAACTAAGAAACAAGCTGACTGAGGTTAGATCTTTCATCCTGATTTTAAGCGATATGCTAACCAGGTCTGGCATGGCTTGTTTTGAAATATCAATTTTTCTACTATAACTGTCTTTGAGCTCCAAAAACAAAAGGCAAAGAATACGAAGGAAGACCTTTTAGGCCTTAACAAAATCTTGAGAAACAGTCTCAATTTTTAATGCAGGTTTAGTGTTCCTAGCTTTCTATGAACCACACTGACGAAACTTCAGATTACTTTTAATAACATTACAAAAACCAGAAAGTTTTGTAAACATGATCTATGCTAGCTGATTTCTTGGCCTTTGAAAAGGATCGTTGGCATGTAATCTTTTGGGGTCTTGTGTTCCATACCAACATGTCTAAATGGAGAATGAAATGAACTCCAGCTAGCCTAATAAGCGTTCTTTTTGTAAGGTTGAAGCTGAGGTTATTAGGCAGCAAGAGGCAAAAAGGGGATCGTCTCCAAAGAGTGAAGCTCAAGATAAGGCTATAAGTATCATTCGGTTACGGTACGCAGCAATGTTTGCCATATTTTATCCAATTAAGGTTTTAATTCAGTGAGAAAGGTGCAATTTATATGTTTCTTCCTTCTACCTGTCTTTCGACCCTTCAATTCTTTTGGCATATGGGGTCAACTAAACATTAAAGTAGACTGCTTCTTTGTCTTTTCTTACAGCGCAGACTTGCAGAAGGCAATTGAGAGTGAGAATTATGCATTAGCAGCCAAGCTACGGGATGCAATATCTGAACTGGAGGCAGAATCACTGGCTGCATCCGCAAAAGCTTTGGCACATGAAAATGCAAATTATTCCTTTCGTTTGGGACAGAGAGTGAGGCATAAAATTTTTGGTATGTTAAGTAGTCTGTAAAAGGAATGCTTCTCAGTTGTAGACTTTGGGAGCATGTTTAGGTAGTTGAATTTTATGAATTTGAGCGATTGCTAGGCAATTCACTGCAAAAGCCTTGAAGAGTCTGTCTAAAAAGTAGCTGCTTGGAAGAATCATCGTGGAATAAGTACAACTGGATTTTATGTGTTTCTTCGTTTCTTTTCCTGCTTTCCAGCTTCTGTTACATAAATCTTATGTTATGTTACTTTTTCAGGCTACTGGGCAGTGGTTTGTGGAATGGATCCCGTGTGTTGTGAATCAAGTTCATGGATGGAAACTGCACAGGTTGAAAAGTTGCATCGGGGCTCTAATCAGCCATTTTATCAGGTTTGAAATCTGATCTATAGCCCTTCATGACTATGCACCTCCACATATGCCTCTGATATGATCTATTAAAATCAATTAGTATAACAACAATAACAACAGTAATGATATGGCAACAGTGATTTATAATATGCAATCTGAATGATTGCTTTTATCTCTATCCCCTTTTCTACCATATGACTGATTTGGGGGAGTGAGCAAACATTGCATGCGATATGATTTCCAATTATCTCTTCTTTATCTTTTGTCAGGTTTTGGTTGATGTACATGCGGACCCCAACCTTCTGGTGGCATATGGTAATACTCAGCTGTTTGACCCAATTCCTTCTCAGATTTAAGTTTCTTTTCCCATGTAATCAGCTTCTCTTTCTGCAGTTTCTGAGGAGAATCTATTAGCCCCTGACGAACCAGATGTGGTGAGTAGAAAACCCCCCCTTCTTTTGTTTTCTTTTCATTGTGAGCCTATTCTTTCCTCTTTTTGAGTTGGGTTGCTCTTTGAGTAACATGAGAAATTCCCCTGTTAATTTGGTCTGTTCTGTTGTTAACCTTGCAGGATCGATTTGATCATCCCTACATTTCCTTTTTATTCTATGGGATGGATGCCGCAGGGGATTTCATCCCGATCAAGCAATTGCGAGAGAAGTACAATAGACCCCGACATGAAATACCCTTTGATCCACTAGATGAAGGGCATGGAAGTGATGCTTAGATGCTTAGACAAATCCAAGCAACAGACCTTGTATAAGATACTGACCATCAATATATTTTTTTCATCTTTTTCCCCTTACATTGAGAATAGCTTCCCCACTCATTAGAATGTGGATAGATCATTAAACGTGCAGAAATCAACGGGGTCTGTATCTATATGTTTGTACCCTACTCACTCTGAAGCCTTAGAACATTACACTATTGATTACGATGTTGTGAAATTTCTTCTGCCCTGTTCGACTTTTTGTCGTCATTTGAAATTTTCACAAATTTATATTTACCCAAAACCAAAAGTAAAAAATGGAACATGTGCCATGCCGAGTGGACTTTAGGCCTACTATGTCCAAGTGGCCCAATATCTTGAGAAATCTTTTGCCGCGGCGTGTTAAAAGTCCTCCGTCACCCATTTGTAACAGACGCTCTCTCTCTCTCTCTCTCTCGAGATTCTTCGTATGCAGTCTTATATGTCCCATGTCACGTAGGCTTAGCCATGACCCTGTACATGCCCTTGTTCAGGTCCTGCACCATCTTAAGAACACTCACCCAACTCCATGCCCACCTCGTAATTTCAGGTCTCCACAGAGACCCACAAGCCTCTACCAAACTCATCGAATCTTATGCCCAAATGGGTTCCATCCAATCCTCAACCCGAGTTTTTGAAACCTTCCCAAAGCCAGATGCTTTCATGTGGGGTGTGCTTATGAAGTGCCTTGTGTGGAATCACTACTTTCAAGAAGCCATTTCACTCTATCACAAAATGTTGCACCATGTAACCAGCATGAACAGGTTTATATTCCCTTCCATTTTGAGAGCTTGTTCGGGATATGGTGATCTGGGTGTTGGAGGGAAGGTCCATGGGAGGATAATAAAATGTGGGTTTGACTCTGATGTGGTGATTGAGACCTCATTGCTTGGTTTGTATGGAGAACTGCGTTGCTTAGATAATGCTCGGAAGGTGTTTTACGCAATGCCAATGAGAGATGTGGTGTCGTGGAGTTCGATTATTTCGTGTTTAGTGGAGAATGGAGAGGCAAGTGAAGGGCTTGAGATGTTCCGTTGGATGGTCTCCGAAGGTGTTGAATCGGATTCAGTCACAATGCTTGGTGTAGCTGAGGCTTGTGGGGAGTTGGCATGGTTGAGAGTAGCAAGGTCAGTACATGGTCATGTTGTCAGAAGGGGAATTAAAAGTGATGGGGCTTTAGAAAACTCTCTAATTTCAATGTACAGTAAATGTGGTGACTTGCAGAGTGTGGAAAGGATTTTTCGTAGGGTTACTCATTGGCGCACTGCATCTTGGACTGCAATGATCTCCTCCTACAATCAAGCTGGTTATTTTTCAGAAGCACTAGACGCTTTTGTTGAGATGCAAGAGTCTAAAGTGGAACCCAATTCAGTAACCTTGATGAGTGTTCTGCGGTCTTGTATTAGGTTAGACTTGCACAAAGAAGGGAGGTCTGTTCATTGCTTTGCTATTAGAAACGTTCTAGACCCTGACCTTGATTTTTTAGGATCCGCATTATTCGAATTGTACTCTGAAATTGGGGGACTAAGCTATTGTCAGAAAGTTCTTAATACAATTGGAGAGAGAAATGTGGTGTCATGGAACACAATTATTTCAGGCTATTGCCAGAAAGGCTTGTTGAGAGAGGCATTGCTAATCTTTGTGCAGATGCAGACCCAAGGACTAATGCCAGATTCTTTCAGCATGTCAAGTGCTCTCTCAGCTTGTGGAAAGGTGGGTTTACTAGAACTCGGGCATCAGATACATGGTCATATAATCAAAAGAGGCTATTTGGATGAGTTTGTCTTGAATTCACTGATTGATATGTACTCAAAATGTGGGTTTGTAGATTCAGCATACATGATATTTGATAAGATTCAACACCTTGGTGTCATAACATGGAATTCAATGATTTCCGGATTTTCTCAAAATGGTGACCCTGTCATGGCGATTAGTCTTTTTGATAAAATGTTCTTGAACTGTCTCGAGATTAATGAAGTCGCCATTTTAAGTGTCATTCAAGCTTGCTCCGAATTAGGTTATCTAGAAAAGGGAAAATGGGTTCACCACAAGCTCATAACATATGGTTTGGGAAAAGATCTCTATATTGATACAGCTCTAACTGATATGTATGCCAAATGCGGAGACCTTCGGTCCGCTCAAGTAGTATTTGACATGATGGAAGAAAGAAGTGTTGTGTCATGGAGTGTCATGATTGCCGGGTACGGTATGCATGGCAAGATTAATGCTGCCATATCAATCTTTACCCAAATGCGGGATACAGGAATGCAACCAAATGAGATTACCTTCATGAACATTCTTTCAGCTTGCAGTCATGCAGGAGCTGTCGAGAAAGGAAGGTTCTATTTCAGATCAATGAGGGATTTCGGCATTGAGCCCAGCGCAGAACATTTTGCTTGTATAGTTGACCTTCTGAGTCGAGCTGGTGATCTCACCGGAGCATATGAAATCATAAAATCAATGCCATTCTCCGTAGATGCCAGCATATGGGGCGCCCTTCTTAATGGATGTAGAATCCACCAGAGGATGGACATGATTAAAAGCATTGAAACAGACCTTTTAGATATCAGCACAGATGACAGTGGATACTACACCTTATTTTCTAACATATATGCTGAAGGAGGGAACTGGGATGAATTTGGAAATGTGAGATTAATGATGAAAGGCATCGGTCTGAGGAAGGTCCCTGGATACAGTATAATTGAGCTGGATAGGCAAGTTTACAGATTTGGAGCTGGAGATACCCCTCATCCCCAAATGAAGGAGATTTACAGTTTTCTGGAGAATTTTCAGAGTCTCACTCGCGAACTAGGGATAACGTAGAATTTGGTATGTTCAAGTCTAGTATATTCTCTGTGGAATTATGTTCAGGTCCATTTCCAGAAACAACACTTTAATTTCCTAGAACACCTTGCTTGTGAGTGCTACTGGTTCATGGTATGTGTCTAAAATCCCAGGCAGATCACTATGAGAGATTTCAGCTAGTTGAATCCTTCTACGAAATTGAATGGGAACCACAGTTGCTGGGGGATCTTTGAGGTAGCTCTGGTTACTCCACTGGGGAAATCAGACAGGTCTTACGTACAGTTCATTATATTTTTGGAGCTCAACACCCACAAGGGTTGTAGTTTATTGTGGCACATGACAGCAGTAGTTACACAACATCGGATGGTCAATAAGCTGAACAAAAGAATGGTTTCAGTATATGTTCGCCTTTGGGTTCTATCTTTTGCTGCTTGCTTCTCCAATTCTATGGCACTCCACTTGATCAGGCAGCCAGCATGCCCAGGGGATGCTTCATTGTATTGTCATCGAATTTTATCCCAACCAGAGCTTCTAACTCCAAAGTACTTGAAGAAAAGACCTAGCTGAGGATTTTGTATATTAGCACGTTACATTATGTGGGAGGAGGCTCCCTAATAAGTTTGTATATTAGCATTGACATAACGCTTAAAAGACCTAGCTGATGATTTTGTTTGTTCAGCTCATTGCATGAACAATGTATTCTTTCTTTTCTTTAATGCAAATTTTCGGCCTTAAGAATGGCAAGTCCATTGCCTTCTCAGTGTTATATTTGCCTTTAGATCCATTTGCATATTAGCATGTTACATTATCAGGGAGGAGGCACCCTAATAACTTTGTATTAGATTGTCAAGTCAAGTTTTCTAGAATAACAAGCAAAACTGTAACCTGATTTTGGTTTTTTTGTTTGTTTTTGTTTTTGTTTTTTGGCCAAGGCTATACTTCTGGATTAAAAGAAACTATTATATAAACACTTGGTACATACATAGTATTCTTTTTCTTTTTTCTTTGGTGGTCAACTGGTACAGAGTATTCGCATATCCACATTTCATACCATAACCCCCTCAGATCCCAGGCTAATTCGGCTCACTCAACCTGCACGCCTTCTTGTACGTTGGCCTTCAAGTATTTGCTTCAACATTAGCATAAAGCTTCATGGCTTGATCTGGTAACCCAGTCTTGTTAAGTCATCTATAGCAATACTCGTGAACGTTTCATCCAGAAAAACACCATGTTGAGGTTGCAGAGAAAGCACCTGCCTCTTAGGACTTCAAAAATTTTGTCCTTCGTCAAACCTTGGATGGAGCTCCCACGAATGAAATCGTAAGCATCCAAATCAAGAGGGAGCAGGGCACCGATGCAAATTGACTGTCAGCAAAGCTCGACTGCTTTTCTGTAGGCAACCCAAAATGGCCTTAACGGTGACATTTAGGTCTGAGCAGCATTTGTGCAACACCTCATTAGTCTTCACCACCTCCACACTGTAATGACATGCCTAATGTACCATATGATTAACCAACACATGCCACTTTAACAGGTGCAATATCATTTCTGATATCCATCTCCACTTGGCTATATGCAAGGGACTTGCTCAATCCTCTCTGCTTCATTAACTCTCTAACCTGATTAACCTGGCTCCATCTACCATCCGAAGCATACAGGTTAGACATTAGCACATAGTAGCAAGCCTCATCAGGATGCAACTCTAGCATTCTTCTTATCGCGGCTTCGCCAAGATCAAATCTTGAATAGAGTCCACATCCGTGGAGAAATGCCCCAAACAAACTAACATCTGGCTGAACTGGCATTCTCTCGATGAACTCCAAGGCCTCTTCAAGTTTGCCAGCACGAGCCAATAGATCGACCATACATGCATAATGCTTCATAGAGGGCTTGAAGTTATAGTCCTGGGACAGCGAATTAAAATACCTCCGCCCTTCTTCAACCATTCCTGTATGGCTGCAAGCTGATAACAATGTCGTGAAGATTACTTCGGTGGGCTCTAAATGCTTCTTCAACATATCACTAAAAAGTGCTAGGGAACCTCTGCTGTCACCCTGAACTCCATAACCACCAATCATTGCACTCCACGTGACTGTGTTCTTCACTCCCATTCCATCAAAAACTAGACGAGCAGATTCAGCATCCCCGCACTTGGCGTATAAGTTTAACAGTGCAGTGCCGACATAGATATTTGAAGTTAGCAGGCCATCCTTTATCGAGTGAGCGTGAAGCGAAGAACCTACTGAAAGAAAACCAAGGGTAGTACATGCTGAAAGGACACTTGCCAATGTGAAAGCATCATGCGAGAAGGATTCTGATCTCATTTGATGAAACAGTTGGAGGGCTTCATATGCCGACCCATTTTGGGAATACCCAGAAATAATTGAATTCCAAGCAATGACATTCTTGTGCAAGATTGTTTCAAAGATGTAACGAGCATCACCAATCATATGACATTTTGCATACATGTCCACTAGAGCATTTCTGACAGTAGAGTCTTCCAACCCGAGTTTAATCCCAAGCCCATGGATTGACCTTCCCAAATTCAAATTACCTGACTGTGCACAAGATGAAAGCACACTTGCAGTGGTGATAGAATTGGGCAAGAGACCAACCCATTTCTCATCCGTAAACAACTTCAAGGCCTCATCTGGGCACCCACTTTGAGTGTACCCAACAATCATTGCTGTCCATGATACAAGATCGATTGCAGGGAGCTCATCAAATATAGAACGAGCATCTCTGATGTTGCCACACTTGACATACATGTCGAGAAGAGATGTCACCAAGAAAGAGCTAGCTTCAATACCAGTTTTAATCAAATGTCCATGAATCCACTTTCCCTGATGTAAAGCTCTTAACTTTGTACACGCCGTAAGCACGCTCCCTAACGTGAATTGGTTCCCTTTAATCAACTCCTCTCTCATCCTATTGAACAAGACCAAGCCATCTTGGGGACAATCGTTTTGCACATACCCCACAATCATTGAAGTCCAGCAAACCACATTTCTATCAACAATTCCATCAAAGACCGCACGAGAACACTCAATCCATCCACACTTTGCGTACACATCCACCAAACCCGTCAACACAAAACTATCAGGACTGGCCACCTTAACAATCTGGCAATGCACCTTTCTCCCCTCATTGAAGTCCCGCAATTCACTACAAGCCTTCAGAACAATCGAGAAAACAACGTTGTCATGTTCTCTGACGCATATTCTCATACGGGTATAGAACCCCATAACCTCTGCATACAAGTTGTGCATAAAGTACCACCTCAGCATCACCTTCCACGAATAAAAATCCGGGCTTGGCATTTGATCGAACAACAACCGGGCACATTTGACGTACCCAAATGAACCGTATAAGCTAATCAGTTTAGTACGACAAAGAAGATCGTCGGAGAGGCCGTGTAGGACGAGCAAGCTATGGACTTTCTTGAGGGAATCGATGTTCCTGCACAAAACGAGGAGATTAAAGCATGGGTTTGAAAACACTGAGCGCGTGGAGGCTAGGGTTTCAGAAAGGTCAGGTGGTTCTGAAGATGGTAATTGATATATAGTATGGGTTGCAGACCGCCATTGAAGTAAACGCGTTCTGGGTATTTGCCCATGTACGGTAGAGATGACCTTCATCATCATCATCCTCATCACTTTGTTCTTCTATTTTTAATTTTCTCAGCAAATTTTTCAGTTTTTGAAAACCAGTTAATTTATGGCGGCGGAACGACCGCTCCTACGGTTCTTATTTGTTTTGGCGCGTCCTGGCGTTTTGTTACTACATATGGGCCTTGGGGAATTGCTCAGGCCCGTGCGTTTGAGCCAGTGCTGAAACTTGGGCCCGAATAATTTTTGAAACAACAAAGCCCAAGTATGAAAGGGAAAAATGAGAGAGATAAAGAGTCTTTTTTTTTTTTTTAATTTATCGACAAAGCCATATATACTAACGCACGGGGAAGGGGATCAAACTTTGGGTGCAAGAAGGAGGGCATATTACATTAGTCAATTAGCTTAACTCACGTTTATATAAATAGAGATTATAGTTTTTTTTTCTTTTTAAATGAATTATAAATAATAAGTGGGAAATAACAATTTGCGTGCAACACATTAAGAAAGAAAGAGATAGTTGACTGTCGAAACAAAGAATAGGAGTGGAATTTTAAAAATATGAATGAATCCCGTAACAATCTGCTGCATGAAAACGAAGTCCCAACATCCTTGTTTCATATATATAAATTATAATCATAATCATAGGCAGGAGGAGGACCATCACTAATTTAAGAGACAAAAATACAATAAAATAAAATAAAAATAAGAACTCCTAGGTTAGGAGGATAGACCATCGATCTTCAAAGGACGACCAAGTATTTATTTTAATTATTTCCAAACAAACTCGTTAATCATAAAACTGTTACTTAATTTTGGTGGACCGTAGACTAGAGTAGATGTCATCATAAGATTGTGAATATACTTAAATTTGGTTTTCCTTGACTTGAATGGTTTGGAAACTCTGTAATTAGTAAAGTAAGGAAAATACTTGTCTCCTTTTTTGAAAGTAGAAACTCTTATTTTCCTGTTAATCACAGTTTGATATGTGTCATGAGATTCTTCATTTTGTGTTGTGTTAAACTTTAATTTGCCAGCAAGTAAGAATACCTCCTTCCAGATAAGGAGGGATCAAATGAAGTTGGTTAATTACTTTATTCAACTTCAAGGATACAAACAAACAGAAAGGATCCTCATACCCAAACCCAATTATAGAAAATTAATATACATAAAGATAAGGTTCATTTCTTTTTGTAATTTAATTAGTCTTTTGAAAAGGATGATAATATAAATATGTGCAGGGGGAAGAGAGAGAGAGAGAGAGAGAGGAGAGTGGGGGTTGGTGTGGAATGTGATTGGTGGGAAGTTAGAAGGAAGAGTATCTTTTTTTATTATTTTTGTTTGTTTGTACGACACGTGGGCACATTAATTACAATGACACATTGAATAAATTCAGATTGAGATTGTGATTTGTAGGTAGAAAGGGAGGTAGGTAGTCGTTGTAGCACCAAATCAAAACTCACTCTCAGTCCACATACACCGACAGTCCCATCCATTCATTCATTCATTCAGGTTGGTTGCCAGATGCTCTGCTCATCTAATCATATCCGATTGCTGCCACGTGTAGTACAACCCTAAGATCTTCTCCTTCTCTCCCGTGAAGCATATGACGTGGAAATATTATACAATGACACTTATGTAGGACCCATGTAAAGACTTGAACTCTTATTTTTTCCATGAGTGTGAAATTATAAATAAATAAATAACCCAATTGGAGAATCAACTTTTTTTTTTAAATATGGTTAAGTCAAAATCCAAAGATATAAACCAAACAGGTTTCAAAAGTACAACATAAATATAAAAAAAAATGGTAAAAAGCTAAGCTGCAAATTGTATGCAATCGTTTTATTTCTTTTGGTTTCTTAATGCAGAGATTTTAACTTTCCATCAACTTTTGAGTAAAAAAAAAGATGATTAGGGAAGGTGGTTGGATAAAGTAATGGGTTTGGCAAGATTGCATAGAACACGGCAAATGCCAAAGACAGCTTCTTTTCTTTGCTGGCTTTCTTCCTTTTGTCTTTTAATTCTTTTGATTCTTTGGGTCCAGAATATTTATCATCACCTTTGTCAATGCAAGTAAAAAGAAGCTTATTGGTGGGGGCATGTTTGGCCATAAAACCATCCCAAATTTCTGCAAAAGGATAGACAATGAACCAAAAACCGCTTTTTTTGATTCACAAAGAAACAAGGCACATCATGTGGGTACGTGGAACCCTGTCTTACATTACATGCTTTCTTTCTCCTTATGTGGCAACAACTTCTTGATCCACCATCCATCCTGAACTCAGATACTGAACCATTTACGTGCATACTGCTGGCCATGAAGTTTTAAACAAAGCACGTTTGATCATTTTTTTAGCTCAAAAATAGAAATGAAAAGAATGTACAAGTAGATTTGGTTATAAAAACTCATTCTCTCACATGGCATCTTTAATTTGAGTTGGAGGGCTTTTATTTTTATTTTTATTTTCTGATTTGTACTGGGTTTGCTTGAGCTGTCTGTGCTGTTTGCACAGGACATGTCTACTGCAGCATGGATGTATGTTTGTACTTTTTCTTAGTATATTAGCCAATTCATCAACAAAAAACACACTCAGAGAGGGAGAGAGAGGGAGAGAGAGAGAGAGAGAGAGAGAGAGAGAGAGAGAGAGAGAGAGAGAATTTGGGGGATCAGATTAGATTCAGAAGCAGCATATTCACATATGAAATAATGATAAATTCACATCTGAATTCCCAGAAGACTGACAATGCATACGCAAATAGAAGAAACACTGGTATCTATCCGGGAATAAATCATGCAACATTATTTTTGAATAATACAAAGATGGCACCACCCAAAGATAGAAAATCAAGCCAACCCAGAATTTGGGCTAAGAAATGTACAGAGGGCAATCAATTCCCATGGCAACCTCAAACCCCCGAAGCCATAGAAACAACACCCCAATTTGCTCTATAGAACTCAATCAATAAGTTAAAGCCTCTTCACCATGTTTAGGTTAATGGAACTGATGGAGGATTGCCTGCCGGGCATCTTTGCCTACGGGGCCTTCTGGTAGTCTTACCCCAACCCGTCAGGCTCCTATCTTCCAGTCCCATTTCGGTATTATTAAGCTGCTGTACCAGCGGAGTGCAAGCTGGGCTAGTTGCCACGGGGGGAGAGGGACTCACCACTGCTCGTCGCCTGCCTCTACCACAACCGTTTCTTGTTGAGTTTCTCCTTGTCAGTCCCGAATGCCATGCATGACCTGTTGCCCGCATCAACCCTCCAAATGTCTGAAGATCTTCTGTTACCTCATGCCTTGACAAAGAAACAAGACCAGGAAGGATATCCCTTTGGAAGTCCCTCCGCTGCCTCCCTCTCCTTGACTGGCCTTTTCTGGGCTGATTTGCTGGTAATGTGTTTCCTGTTTCTTCCAGCTTTAAGTCTTCTGGAACCAGAGGCTTAGGCATGTAATCTTCTTCCTTGGTCTCTGTCAGTTTCAAAGTCATGGATTCAAAGTAATCGAACTCTTCTGATAAACATTCCTCATTATCTCCACCATCTTTCCCTCTCAAAACAGTGTCAAACTTGCTCTCAAGATCATTCCCACAAATAGAAGCAATCTCCACAAACCACAGAAGGGGGTCAGCTGAAGAAGCTTCTGGTGGATCACAAGATGATTCATTCATATGATTGTGAGGACCAGATGATGAGATGGAAACTATTGCCTCTGCTGCTACTCGCACAAGTTCATCTTGAGGAGGTTCAGCTGTGTGTTGTGGCAATGCTAAGGAGATTTCTTTCTGCTTTTCGGCAGATGTTTCTCCAGGAATAACATCATCATCAGTCTCCGGAACAATGGGGGCTTCCAAATCTATCTCTACTGTAATCTTCACACTGGTGCTTGGAACAGAAGGTTTCAAAGATACTTCATCATCGCTGATACACGAGTTCAAATCAATGTAATGTCTGAAACTGGCAACTTTTGTATCTCTTCCTTCTTCTACAACTACAATTTCTGCTACATTTTTTCTGGCCAACTCAGGAGCTGAAGGATCACAAGGCAAGTTGATATCCAGTTCTCTGTTTCTCCTGGTATTTTCCCCTCCTCTCTCAGATGGATGAGACATAGACACAGAAGGGGAGGTAAGGGAAGAGGACTCATTCTTAGAAATATGAGACTTCTCAAAAATGGGAAATCCAAGAAGTTTTCTCTTGCATGGGATGTCACCTAGTTCATTCCTTCTGGCCTCAACATCATTTCCAGATACAACAGATTTTATATCCTGAGCACAAATTTGATTCAAATCCTTTCCAACTTCAATTTTATTGGATGAATTATTCATAGAAGATTGAAAGAAACCCCGCTCGCCAGTCTTTGAAACTTTGCCCACGTTGGAAAACTCATTCTTAGAAGCAGGCTTAGCTCTTAGCCACGGAAAAGCTGCAAGATGGTCCTCATGCTTTTGTTCTCCCCCTATGATTTTAAGACCCTGCTGGAGTATTTCTTCATTAGATGAGCTGTTCGAAAGAACTACATTCAAGTTTACTTCCCTTCCAGACTTCACATCCAAGCAATTTGAACCCTTGGGGTGCGTTGTTGAACCATGACTCATCAACTGTTCAGGGCCTCCATTATGATTGTTGCTGCTGCTCTGATAGTCACAGCTGAGAGAAGGGAAGCGAACTGGCTCCTTAGACCCTGAAGAGGAACCATGGTGAAACCCATTTTGGTATGGCACTTCACTCCCAGAACCTTGGTTAGAACTAGAATGGTTGTTGAGATACCACCTATCTCCAAAAATCCCATTGCTCTGAACTGATGACTGGGAACTCTTACTCAAGGTAGCAGATGAGTTAAGACAAGGGTGAGTTTGAATTGATATTGACTTCTGGCTTAAGCTACTGCCTGGGTTTTCCCAAGATGAAACCGAGTGTGTCCAGGACTTGGCCAAATCAGAGGAAGGAAGAATGGGATATGGAGTGGGCATATGAGAAGCCGCGAAAATACTTGGATGCTTACTATTGGAAATTTCATGACTTCTTTCGGAATTCTCCACACCACAAACTGTCCTCTCTCTCCACAAATCCACCTTGCTTCTATCGGTCAGATAGAAAGTGGGTTCATGAACATTGTTAATAGAAACTTGCATTG